TGCTTTTTTGCCCCTTATCGGACCCAAGAAATGCTGCAATTCTTTGTGTCTGGTTTAAAAAAGCAGGAAACAATGTTTGGTTTCTTTGGCATAATCCAGGTGCCCTCAGTTTCTTTTGGTCTTTTGAGATTGCCACCCTTGGTTACCATCATGTATTACTGAAAGGTCATACATGACAATAAATTATCTATCTCCAGACAGAGAGACACTCTGACAGCCTGGAAAAAACACCATCATCCTGTGTGCTATCTTACATGACTGAAAAAGGGTTTGTCATATATGTCAAAACTTTACATTTATCAAGCTTCAAAAGCAATGCAAACAAAAAAAAATATTTCATTTACATTTCAAATGTTTTTTATAACTTCCCTGCCCTGGTTTTGTTCACTGTCCCCCCAAAAATATTTGCATTTGATCAAAGACTTCAAATTCATATGGTCCCACTATCTCTCTCCCTGTACTCTCCCACCCTTTCTTAGTGTACCTAAAACAACAACCACATTCCTGTATGGTTACTTATGACCTGCAAATAAATGTGTTCTGCAAATAAATGCCATAATGAAGAGCCTCATTGCCACAGAGGTTCATAGGCTCAGTTCAAAGTACTGTGATCATGCTCTCAGTGGGCCAAGGGGAACAGAGAGCATTTTTGGTTTACAGAGCTTTCCCAGAGAGCATCACAGCATCCTCAGCACTGAGATTCTATCAGGGAAGACCTAACAGCCGAGGGATCTCTGGAACATCACAGTTTTTCATTTCAGCAGACAAAATACTAATTTGTGTATCAGTTTTATCCTCCATAATTTCTCCACAGTTACAAAACATTGGTTCACCAAACAATTTTTTTATTCTTTTTAAAAAGGCACACAGGGTCTACAGAAAGAGGAATTCAGTGCACTGAGCTGTTTAGCCGATGAAGAGACAAACTGAAGAGGAAGCACAAAGCACTCTTACTCAAAGCGAGTATCCACAGCACTCATTCAGGGCTTCATGCAAAACCCATGCAGGACATCCAGGAACCAGGGAAAAAAAAAAAAAAAAAAAACACTCAGAAGCATCTGGCTGTTGAGTCACAAGCAGGCTGTTGTGACAGTCGGACCCAGTTTGTACCCTGAGGTGCAGCAGGTCTGTCTCGCACCTGCCTGTTTCCTGCCTCAGTAGCGCTGCCACAAGCACATCTTTTCCTTCCTAACTCTGAAGTGATGGGGTGCTTACGTATAAAGCACAGCAACGATGCAGTTTCACCCCAAAAAGCGTTTCCCCAAGCAGCAGTTCTCTGCCGCATGTTTATTACCTCTCAGTGCTTTATCTACCAGGTATGTTTAATTTACGAGAAAAACGTTTCTCTTTTCTAACCCAGATAGGTTTGTAATACCACCCGCCTGACCACAGCAACTGAGCAGCTTCCAGAATTGCATTCAGCAACATGTCTAACGTCTGTCACATGAGGTTTGCTGTCTCGCTCTCCTCCTCTTGCCCAGGGAAGGTCTTTGTGTTCGGTGGTTTCTTTGGCATTTTATTTTTAAGATGCTTCTGGAGGTTTGCTAGAGAAATCAGCACCAGGAAGCTTATCCTAAACTAGGAGCAGAAAGAAGTAAGTCTGTGGTTCTCCTTTGGAGAATTTCTGCCATTTGGTCTTGGACCAGTCCTTGAGAAACCCTCTGTCCCCTGGATAAAGAAGCTTACAAGTTCCCCTGGGTCTGAATTTTTTTTTACAATGAGGGTGGTGAGACACTGGTTGCCCAAGAGGTTGTAGATGCCCCCTCCCTGGAAATACTCAAGGTCAGGTTGGATGGAGCTCTGAGCAACCTGATCTAGTAGAAGTTGTCCCTGCTCATTGCAGGGGGTTGGGGACTAGATGACCTTTAAAGGTGCCTTCCAACCCAAATCATTCTGTGATTCTATGATTCTATCTGAGAAGCAGGGGTTTTGAGTATGATCCTCAGACTGGAATTCAGAATTTTTATAGATAGGATATGTTCAAGCCACCAAGCACCTGGAACATAAAAGACAAAACACATGAGCTTGATGCAGCTCTCCTATTCCAAGCCACTGAGATCAGAAACACAGGGCAGGTTCCTGTCAGAAGCAGCAGTGATTCCTTAAATCCCATTACACCACCTATACAACATGGTCAGCCAGCAAAGCCCTCTGCAACACCCTTGCTAACCACTGGGTATGAATGAGGGACATGCAAATTGCTCCATTGCTGCCCAAGAAAAGAACCCAGAGATTTGTGCTGAATGGATTAGCTGAGTAAAATACCATCAGTATTGCTGTTTTCAGACCAGAGCCACAGTTTAAGGTGAGAGTGACAGGCAGGACATGACGTGGCGGCACTGAGAACTATGTCAAGTAAATGGAGCAGTACAAATGCAGATTAGACAGGGCAGTAAATGGCATCAGGAGGGAATGATGTGCAGTAAGCTCTAGAAAGCAGGGGCATGCTTTTAGGTTAGATTTTAAATGAGCATAGCAGAGGGCTTAACCTGCTATGGTGAGGTTAGCTGGAGCTTGGAGCCTTTCGCCTCCTAGCACCAGAACTGATCAGATCTATTAAGCTTGTCTTTCCACTGAGACCTCAAAGATCTTGAGGGAAAGAGGAAGAATGAAAATAAAAAAAAAAATAAAACAAAACAAAACAAAAAAAAAAAAAAAAAAAAAAACACACAAAACCACCACCAAGAAAACAGGCTCCTGTACTTAGCATCTAGGACAGTCATCTCAGAACAAGGATCCCCATGTTCCAGCTCCTGCCCGAAAGGCTTATGGACAATACACAGTTAATCTTTCGCTCTTTTTTGGAGGATGGAGCAGCTCACAAGGACAGCAGGACTCAGGCAAGCCACAAATCCAGTACCCAGAACACTCTCCAGAGAGAAAAGAAACTTTGGTCCCCCCAGGCAGAAGAGGTAATTGATGTCTCCAAAATAGTGGGTGCTCTGGTGACTGGTAAAAGGGGAACAGACAGGGAGGGTGAAAGGAAAGGGCATAAAAGGTAGCCACAGAGCAACTTCTTCTTCCAGTCTCTTTTGAAAGAAAGCAAGTGTTTTTGCTACAGAGAGCTGTCAGAAAAGGTACAGTGAGAGCACCTACTACACCAAGCTGTCCAAGACATGCAGGAGGAAGGGCTGTCACACCAGGTGACAGCTAGAGCTTGTACCTTCTGACAGGTCCATCAGCTCAAGGGCCCCTAAGTGGCTGCCTGGATGCAGTGCCCTCTCCCCTTTTCCAGGTTTCAGCTGGGATGGCGTTAATTTTTCTCCCTAGTACCTAGAATAGCACTGTGTTTTGGATTCAGTATGGGCTGCTGGCCAGGCTTAAACCATGACAGTGTTCCTACACCATGCACAGACCACAAACCAGGGCAACAGCTGGAGACAGAGTGACAGCGATCCATGTGGTACACAAACAAGACATGGACCTGGCCATGGGACAGGAGTGATCACAGAAGCTTCTTGCTGTGGTTTAAGATTCCATAGGGATGGCAATGGTGAACCCAGGGCCTGCAGCTCCAGAAGCCGCTGTTTGCAGGTCATTTCTGGAGCAGATTTCAAAGGCCAGAGATGAGAGGTGAAAGCTGGAAGGCAGAGCCCTGGGCTTCTGTACCAGAGATTGCCCAAGCACCTCCTCGCAAACTTCATCACTTTAGGATGGAGAGCAGCTGTCCTGCACAGGGCTTTTAGTTTTTGCTTTACTGCAAAGCACAAGGAAGACCCTACCAGCTCACAGCCTGCCGTTTCACAGTAGCACTGCCAGCTTGCTCATTCCCTCCCACTCTGCTGGTCGGGTTGTTGGTGCAGCCACGTGATGAACTAGACCAGAAATGGATCCAGCTAGGGAGAAAAAAACAACATGCAAAGCAAGAACAAAGAAGGGAAGGTGGGAAATCTCTGCAAGACCTATTCCCTGATGCAGTTCCTCAAGTAACTTCACCAGCAATGCCAGAGGCAGGACTGAGTGGGCTAGATGAGGAAGGAAGGGGATGTCTAAGCAGGACAGACTTAGGTGTGAAACTACTGCCTCCCTTGCTTTCAGACAGACTGACAGCTCAGGACTTCAAGGCCTTACACTCCACGAACAACCGTAGCCCACCCAGCTCCACCTGTTTGCAAACACGATGCCCTCTTTTGCATTACTTGCTCTGACAGAAATAGCTTTGCTAGGAAAAAACCCTATATATTAGCTTTTCCCCAAAGCAGGAAGATAAGCATCCACTGATTATTGACCCCAGGTTTGGCCCAGGTAGGAGTCAACATTTCTCCAACTGCTTGACAGCTGAGGCAAGATGCTAAACAGCACTGCCCCGAGAGAGATGGTTCCTGAAGCCATCCTCATTGCAGTTCTACACAACCAGCTGGGAGGAAGAACAGAAAGAGAATAAAAGGCAACTGAAATCAGTGGAGTGGATGAAAACACCCGGCTGCGTTGTCCTCCAGTACCAGTGAACCTCTAACTCTCTGCCATGCTTCAGTGCCCAAGGTTCATCCCCTCCTAAAGGAAACAAGCTACGCTACTTAGTACATTGAGCACCGTCACAAACTCACATGCAAGCAACTGCAACCCAGTGACTCCCTATGTGGTGGATTTTTTTTTCAAAAAAATAAGGGAAAATGTGAAAGGTTGCTTTTTAGCTTTCCTTGTCAAATGCCTGTGACCCAGAAGGAAATTTCCAAAGTAGGTGAAGCAAAGGTGAGTGAGAAATCCCACCAGCAGCAGACCTCGGCTGTGGCCAGCCGTGCGGCAGCGGCTCTTCGAGCCAAGCCAGTAGAGGTCTCTCTTCCACTAATCCACTAATAAAAATAAATAAATATCTATCTATATTTGTCTGCGTGCGCATGTGCCTTCCCTTCTGATCCCCGGTCCCCAACTAGAATAAAATAATTACAGCAGGAAGCCAGCAGCTCGGATGGGAACTATTTATCACTCCGCTCCAGAAAAAAAAAAAAAAAAAAAAAAAAGAAAAAATAGTTTGTGGGCTACCAGGTTACCAAGCTTACAGTGTCAACTCCAGGCTTTGCATCTGGCAGGAAAAAATTTACGGTATGGTCAGTCCCAGACCTCCAGCTTCTCTCTCCAAGGAAAGTGAGGACCACAGCTGTGACTGGGCTCACTGGGGCACAGCCGGTTGCTCGCAGATGTCTTCCAGCCTGCCCAGGTAGCAGGGGGATAGGGAGCCCTTTCTGCACTTGTAGGTCGCTGGTTTCAACCTGGGTAGAGTCAGTCATGACAGAAAGGCTTTATCAGGCAACGGTTGTTTTTTTGGCCTCCATGTAAAGGACTGCTTGGTCTTTGTGGGAGTAGCGTCTAGAGCACACAAAATGGGGCGTCTGCCCACGACTGGAATCCTTGCTGGAAGTCTCAGATGTGAGGCCAAGGATAAAATTGGAATGAAACTAATGTTCCTGCCTGCCGGCTCCTCCAAACAGCTGCCGGCACAGTAGGCCGGCCAGGTATAAAAGCCTGAACTGGCACAGCCTGTCTTTGTGGGTAAGGAACGCTAAACCACAAGGTGTGTTGCTCCGCGCTTCCACCCGGAGCCGGCTGGCAGGTGCCAAACTGCCGAGGGGCAGCGGGGCACCCCCCTGCCAGCTCAGCCCGGCCCAGCTGGGCCACGCACCGGCCTCTTCCACGGCGGTGTCACCAAGCACCGGTGTCACCAGTGTCACCAAGCACCAGCGTCACCAAGAACCGGTGTCACCAAGAACCGGTGTCACCAAGCACCGGTGTCACCAGCACCGGTGTCACCAAGCACCGGTGTCACCAGCACCAGTGTCACCAAGAACCGGTGTCACCAAGCACCGGTGTCACCAGCACCGGTGTCACCAGCACCGGTGTCACCAAGCACCGGTGTCACCAGCACCAGTGTCACCAGCACCGGTGTCACCAGCACCAGTGTCACCAAGAACCGGTGTCACCAAGCACCGGTGTCACCAGCACCAGTGTCACCAAGAACCGGTGTCACCAAGCACCGGTGTCACCAAGCACCGGTGTCACCAGCACCGGTGTCACCAGCACCGGTGTCACCAAGCACCGGTGTCACCAAGCACCGGTGTCACCAGCACCAGTGTCACCAGCACCGGTGTCACCAAGCACCGGTGTCACCAGCACCAGTGTCACCAAGCACCGGTGTCACCAAGCACCGGTGTCACCAAGCACCGGTGTCACCAGCACCAGTGTCACCAGCACCGGTGTCACCAGCTTGCGGCAGCCCACCGCATAAAGCTTCCGCGCTCCCTTCTCCAAAACCCAGAGCCTGAGAGCTGCCCCCAGAGCCCCGGGGGCGGGTGACACCCCCCCACACCCCCCCCACGGGATGCTACAGCACCTCCTTGTGCCCTTTGCTTGCGGAGAACCTGCGGATTAGCAAGGTTTATTAAGAGGGGGAGGCTGCCCGCAGCCCAGCCCAGCTGAGGAACAGCAGGGGGAAGTCCAGAGCGGTGACCCCCAAACCCTGCTCCCCAGTGACGGCAGAGTGCAGGAGCAAGCAGGGAATGGGCAGGAGGCAGAGCTGCCCCCTCCCCGGTGGCAAGGCACAGGGCGGCCGCCGTCCACTGAGGTACAGCTGCACCCCCTGATTTGGGGGCAGGGAAGGAGGGGGGGGGGGGGCAACAAAAAAGGCAAACCAGCTGTATCTGTTTAACTGGAGTACATCTCAATTGGAGACATACGCACGTGAACACGCCAGCTCCTGGCGAAAGAAGGCAAGGTTTGGTTATATCACATCTTGACTGCGGATTAGGCCTCGAGCAGCTGAAGGTGTCCTGCAAAAGAAAAGCCACTTTGGGGAACATGCTGACTGCAGGAAAACATCTGTATTTCACCCTGCTCCTCTCCACCCGTCCATTCCTTTGAACCTATCATGCTTTCATATTGCTTCTCCTACGCAGGCAGCTGCAGGCATTAAACCCTCGGAGGCCGGGACACCGTTCACCCGCTGCAATGGCAGCTTGGGGCTGGAAGTCACCCCTGTAAGAGGTGGCGGAGGTCCCCACTTACCACGAGAGACCTGGGAGCAGGTCAGTTCCCAGCTCTGTTTTCACCTCAACAAAATTTTTTGTCCACGCCACTAGAGCGAGACTTTTTCCTCTCGCTTTGGCCTCCCCGGGAGTCCCGGGGGACACCCAGGCACCTCTCCACATCCAGGCTGCTGCCCCTGCGCCGCCGCGCCCGGGGAGCTGCGAGAAGACGGTGGGAGAAGAGTGGGGGCTTCTCCTGCCATCTATCAGTGCTTGTCCGGCAGCACCAGTAACCCCCTTTGGGGGGATTTTTGTAGCTCCTGTCAGTTTTGGTTTGTTTTCTTCATGCAGAAGCAGATGAAGAGTGAATAGTCTGATGCTGGGGTTTTTTTTAGGCAGCTGCACTATTATATTTTAATATTTACATTATCATGCATTTTATATTCTAGGAAAAGGTGCATTTGCTTGCCTTTTAAGTAAAGTGAATTAGGATTATTTTTTTTAATGGAAAAGAAAAAAAAAAAAAAAGAGAGAGAAGAAAAACACATTCCCCTCTATTTTTTGACTGATTTTGAGTCTTGCAATGACTGATGTGGGCAAGGCAGAAAGCAGGCTGGGAGAGGAAAGGCACACAAGGTCGCCGGACGGAGGAGGTGGCCGAGCCTGGGTGAAACATGGCAAACCGCAAGTGCAGATACTACCCACCCAGTGTGAAAAATGCCTTTTTTCAGCTCAGTAAGTAAACGAAACATGGGAGGTGGGGAAAAAAATCAGTATTAAAAAAAGAACAGAAAGTCTTCAAGGCTTTTTCAGTAAAATCAAAGCAGAAAAGATCTCATTTGGGGACAGAGCAAAACAATTCATAGAATATAATAATTTTACTGCAGATGACACATTTTGTTAAATCCATTATACTGTGAATGTTTTCTTTTGGTGGGTGTGCAATAAAAAAGAAGCAAGAAACAAGATAATAGATTAATAGATTACTTTTTAAATGAAAAAAAAAAAAAAAGGCATCTTAAAATGAAAAGTTTAAAATATTAAAATACCATAAGATGTTGGAACAAAACATGCTGACATTTCTGAAGTGGCATGTTTTCTTTTGAAAATGAAACTCGTTGCTTCTGCAGGTTTTTTCAGCTGAAGCTCCTCAGCCGTACAGATGGGTCGGGATGTCGGAAAACTTCATTTTCCAGTTGATTTCCCCATGTGAGGAAGAGGAGGCCGGTTCCGCGGCGGAACGGCCTGCGCACATCCGCGCGTACGTGTGAGCGGCGGCGGGAGGGATTGGGGGGGGGGGAGAGCAGAGGGGGGTTGGGAAGAGAGAGGGAGAAGGAAGAGGGAGGGAGGGAAAAGGGAGGGAGGGGGAGGCTCCACGCGCGCTCCCGCGGCTGCTCGCGCGCGGCCGCGGGGCAGCCGCGCCTGTTGCATCAGTCGGGGCGGGTCACGCCGGGGCGGGGCGGGGCGGGGCGGGGCGGGGCGGGGCGGGGCGGGGCGGGGCGGGGCCCGGCCCACACGGACCGTTCGCTGCGCACAAAGTGCGGCCGCGCCCTCCTCCCCCCTTCCCCTTCCCGTCCCCGGCGCAGGGAAGCAGCGAGGCAAGGTTGCCTCCAGCCGCCCGAGGAGGAAACGCTGCGACGAGGAAGAAGAAGCGGAGGAGGAGGAAGGAGGGAAATAAAATTTAAAAACCATCCCGCCGCGCAGGCCGGAGGCCCGGCCCGGCGCAGCCCCGCGCCCGGCGCCACCTTAAATCTCCCCCCACGGCCGGGGCTTGTTGTTGCGGCAGATCCCGCCCCCCCCCCCGCCGCTCCCACCGCCCCCGGGGAACGGGGCGCGGGGCGGGTTTGAGCGTGTGTGTCGTGTCGTTCGTCCCCCCCCCCCCCCCCAGTACACCGGGAGGGGCGGCCGGGGGTGTTTCCCCTCCCACCCCCCCCCCGCCATGCCGTGGGCTCCGCGCATCCCCCCGGGGCTCGCCCCGGGGAGGGGGCGGGCGGTGCCGCTCCCCCGGGGTGGTGCGGGCGCGGCCCCAGGTGAAAGCGGCGGGGACGGCCCCCGCCTGCAGAGCGAGGGGGAAAAGCCCCAGCAGACACACACACCCCAAAAAAAAAAAAAAAAAATATATATATATATAATAATGTGGTTGGTTTTGCAGCCGCTCTCGCGGGGCGGGGCAGGGAGCGGGGGGGACACGCTCGGAGGGCAAACCCAAATCCTACGTGATGGAGCAGCAGGCCGGACCCCGGCACCCGCCCTCCCCCCGCCCTGCCCCAGCCTGGGGGCTTCAGCCCCGGCGCTGACCGCGCTCCGGCCGTGCCCCCCGACCCCCCCCCCCCCCCCCCCAGCCCCGTCCCGCTCCCCCCCGCTCCCTTCCCGCGTCCCCCCCCCCCCGGCGGCCGCACAAGGGGAGGTTTCTCTTGCGCCGGCCGCGGGGATAGGCCGGCTCCAGGAGGCGCCGCTGTTTATTTTCCATCATGATCACTTTGTTCGTGCTGGAAAAAAAAAAAAAAAAAAAAAAAAAAAAAGAGAGAGGAAAAAAAAAAAACCCTCAACTTTTTTTCTTTTTTTCCTTTTTTTTTTTTTTTTTTTTACTTTTCGCGAGGCTTTTCCACGTTTACCGGCCTGAATTGCACACCTCCCTCGACCCCTCCCCATGGGGCGGCCTGGAGTCGAACTGGGGGAGGGGGGGGGCGGGATACCGGAGCGTACTGGGGGAGGGCGGAGAGCAGGGTGTTCAGCGATCCTTTGCAGCCGGAGGAAAAGTCCATTGCAAGCACTGGCCGTGCCCGTTTTTCGTTCCTCGGCCCCGGGAGAAGCCCCGGGTGCCATCTGCCCCAGTTGGGGGGCCGACATTGAGGCGGGGGGGGGGTGGGTGGGGTGTTGGGGGGGTGCGTCTCTCCCCTTTCCCCCTCCCTCCCCAGCGCAAGGCCAGCACAAACCCGTGTTTTCGGGGCGGTTTCAGCGCGAGGGCGAACCCGTGCGCGGCCGGGATAAACAACAGGATCGCGTTGCACCGTGGGGGGGGGGGGGGGGGGGGGGGGAACCCAGGCGAGCGCTGGGTGAGACTCGCCCAGGGTTATGTCGTGTGTTTGTGTGTCCGTTTTATTAATATACGTATTTATTTATTTCTCGCAAGCTCCGGGTGGGTGAGGGGCGGAGGGCAGAGGCTTGGTTTTGGGGGGGGGGGGGGTGGCGCCCGCACCTTGCCGGGCGCGGTGGGGCGATGGAGGGGGCTGCGGGGCCGGACAGGGCAGCCCCCCCCCCCCCCCCCCCCCCCCCCCCTTCCGGCTTTCACCACCACCACTACCAACCACCCCCCCAGTGCCATCATCGCCTCTCTCTTTCGGGGCCCCCCCCCCCCCCCCCCCTCCGCGCATCCCTGCCCGGCCGCTGCCCGCGGGGCGGGATAACGCGCTGGCGGTGTGGTGCGGCCCCTCCCGGGACCCCGGGGGGGGGGGGGGGGGGGGCTGGTGGCGGAGGGGGGGGGGGATGTTGGGGGGGGGGTGGGGAGGGAGGCGGCTGCCGCGCCGGTGCCTGCACCAGCATCTACTGGGACAGGGGTGTGCGAGGCGCCATCTTTGTTAGCAATAAACGCTGCCGTGGGAGAAGATGCACCGGGTTTCCCTGCAAAACCGCCGGATTTTGGGGGAGGTGGGGAAGCAGGTTACCGCTACGGTCCCCCAGACATCCCTCGGGCGGGGGAAGGGGGTGGGTGGGGGGGGGCGCTGGGGGCAAACGCGGAGATTTGGAAGCTCTCTGGCCCAGAGCTGGCAACCGTCCGGCCCAGGAAGGTGCCAATTTGGGCTCGGGTTTTAAGCCTTACGAGTCAAATGACCGAGCGTGAAAAACACCTCGAGCTACGTATTTTTCCTCAAAAAAATAAAAATTAAAAAAAAAAAAAAAAAAGACAAAACACCACAAAATACTGTGACAGGAAATTCCACTCTTTCGCATCAAGAAGGCACATTATTCCCAATTATCACAGAGGAGAAATGATAGCGTGGCACTAAAGGTGAAGAGAGTGAGCTTGCATTCCTTGCTTTCACCTGCACTGGAGCCACCAGAGGAGATACCCAAAGGAAACTTGATGTATTTCTTGAAGGAGCCTTATTGCCTCCTGTGCCAGGCTGAGGGAGGTTGAAACACACACTAAAGAAGAACATACTTCTTATATATGGCAGTTTTCTTTATTGATTGCTTGATGTGAAACAGTATCAATCCGGAATTTTGTTTTTCCCACACATTACAAAAAAAATATTAAATTGGCTCAGTCTGCAATCCTTTAAGCACAGCCATATTAATTACCAGAAAAAGGAGAAAAAAAAAAAAAGAAAAAAAAACAAACAAACAAAAAACCCTAAAAAGGCTACCAAATAGAGCATTTACAAATGCACAAAAACATGCCACTTTGGCTTTATGGGGAAAAATATTGTCTTCTAGATTAAAAAAAAATCTTTTAACATAAATAAGTTAGTATAATTTCTCAGTGTCTTTACAGAGTTATGTACACAGGTACACTTCAAACTTTTTTTTATTTTTACATACAGGTACACAGGCAATGTAGAAATACTGTTTAAAGATGTAGTATCCCTTTTCCCTCACACAAACACTTCAGGAAGTGGGTCAGATCAGAAAACAACATTTGAGGTTCAGAGCAAAGGCCCTCCAGATTAGTTTAAAACAAAAAAAAAAAAACACTACAACTCCTATGCACACACACCTCCCCTCCACACACTCCCCCCCCCCACCCCCAGGAAATCAGGCAATGTAGTAATGGGATGATTTTACAAGACTTCTACAGGCGTTCAAATTTGCTATATGTATTTGAGGTCGGGGGGTGGGGGGGAGAACTTTTGCTACTACATAACGGAATCATCACAGCTCCCACCTCTTCAGCTTAATGCAGGAGAAAAATTTCACAAGTGGCCTGTAATAATCTGCTCTGAGCAGGGTCATCACAATGGTACATTTTTAAAAAAAAAAAAAAAAAAAAAAAAAGAAAAACACGGTGGACCCACTTAAAGGGACAATACATCTTTAAGTAATAAAAAAAACCCTACACTGCTTCTCTTCATACATTTCTTTGCTTGCTAGATTGTGAAAGCAAGTCCCAAATGTCACCCTCTTCCACTCCCTCCCCCCTCCCAACAAGGTTTATGTGCTACATAACGTAAAAACTATATACACAGGTAGTACAATGAAGCAAATAAGGAAACACCTAATTGCACAATGCTACATCCAATGCTTTTAGAGGCAGGTCTTTTAAGAGTGCCTAAAATTTTAGTGTTATTGTTTGCCTTTTTTTTTTTTTCTTGTTTTTGTTTTGTTGCTGTTGTTTTTTCAGTGCTTGTACAGGACCCCCATCCCACGGAGATCGGCGATATGTATTTTCGTTTCCACTACAACTTTACATCTTCCTCGCTTCATCGCCGCCCGCCGCGCCCGATGAACGAGGACACGCACATCCTCCGCTCTGCAACGGGACGGGGAGCGGGAAAAAAAACAGACGGGGAGGGAGAAGGCCATTAGAAAACGTCGAAAAGAAACGCGATCCGCGGCGCAACCGGTTCAAACCGACACCGCATCCCCGGGGCGGGCGGGCCCTGCCCGGGCGGGGCCCCGCGGGGCCGCCCCGCCGGCCCCCCGGCCCCTTCTTCCACCCCTCGGCGGGGAAAATGAAGAAACGAAGGCGGCAGGATCCCTCCCCTCCGGCCCGGGGCTCAGCCCGCTCCCCCCCCCCCCCAAAAAAAAAAAACAAGCGGGCGGTAGCAGCGGCATTTGCATAGCCCCGCATGCTGACGTGCTCCTCCACGGCTCACCCCAGCGGGACTAATTTGTTGCAAGTTCAGCTTTACAGCTTAATCTCTTTCTGCACAATCGCAAATCGTGTTTGTAAACCTCGCTCCTAACCTCGGCTCCGAAACCGCCGGCGCAATTTACCAACTACTCCCTCCGCCCCAGCCCTCGCCTTAAAACAAAACAACAACAACAAGGGGGGGGGGGGGGGGGAGCGCACAACCCAGCTCCCATTAACCCGCTCTCTTCCCTTTGCCAACCTCTCAAAGCAAACCAAAACAACCAACCAAAAAAAAAAAAAAAAAAAAAAAAAAAAAAGCAAGCCACCATTCCTAGCTCGCATTTTAAAGAAAATGCCCGGATTCCTCAACTTATTTCTCCCGGGCTGGGAGGTCGCCGCGACGTGCGACGACAGCGCTGACATTGTAGGTGAAAAAGCATCGGGGGGGGGGGGGGGGGGGGGGGGGGGGGGGGGGAGGGCGCGACACAGACGACACACGGGAAAGCCCCCCGAAATCCCTTGTCACCCGACATCACGCACCAGCCGCGTTTGAAACTCCGTCCCTCCACCCTGCGCAGGGTCCTTGGGAAGGGCCCCCCCTTGCCCCCCATGGGCCCGGGCCGGCGGGCAGGGTCGGTGCCACCGCGGCCGGGGCTCCCGCCGCCGCCGCCCCGGCCCCTCCGACGCTTCGCTCCTTGTTTTGTTCAAGCCCTGCGCGTCCCACCCCCACCCGCCGACACACACCCATCCCCGAGCGCCGGGGGAAAAGCCACCCTTCCTCGGAGAAACGACCCCGCAGCGAGCCCGGAGGGGCCCGAGGCACACACGCCACCCCCCCACCCCCGCTTTACAGAAGCGGGATACCCACTCGCGTCACCTTTTCTCTCCCTTGTTTGCATCCTAATGCCAAACCCTAAAGGGAACCTACCTAAACTGTTTACGTTTGATGTCTTCTTGGGCTTGATTTCTTGGGTGTTTGCTCCACTGAACTGGCACTGGGGGAGTCTTCTGAAACCTCTTCTTCTGTTGTGTTGGCTCTTTTATTTTGAGGAGAAGAATCTAGGAGGGGAAAATTAAAAACAAGGGGGGGGGGGGGGGGGAAACTGGTATTAAAATATTTTCCTTCCAGATGTTTGCTCGGCATTCAAGGGTGGGGGTAGATGGGGCCGGGGGGAGGGGGGAGATATTCCCGGATCCCCATGTCAGCTATCGGCTACGTGAAAGCGAGCAGGGGGAGGGGAGATGGGCTTCTCTCTAGGTAAGTGACCCAAGTTTCCTGTTTTCGGCTAAAATCCGTCCTTCTTTTGCTTCGCGTGAGCGTTGCGAGCCGCCTCCCACCGGGGCAGGAGGCCGGGTTCCCGCAGAGGGGCGGCGAGGGGCCGGGGGGGGGATAATCCCTGTCCAAGGGCTTTTCCTTGCAAATCATCTACCGGCTCCCAGTTAACGCGGACCCCCCTAGGACGGCAAACAGCACCTGGGCTCTTTTTTTTCGGCCGAAAAGAGGCTGGGGGCTTGGGGGGTGTGCACACCGAGCCGGTGCCCGGCCGGGCACAGCCCACCGTGGCCAGGCCACGCGTGGCACGGGCGGAGGGGCCAAGCGCCCCGGCGCTGACCCCAGCAGGGCAGGCGGAGGGAAGCGCTGCCGCTTTCGCGAGGGTACGTTACCATCGGTGGCAGGTCTTTTCCTCTGCCCAGTGCACTGCTCTGCAAAGTCCGTCTGATTTTCAGAAACATCAGTCTTTTGCTCTACACAGTGAGTGTCCTCTGAGATTCCCTGAGAACCGACAAAAACCACGGTTTGGCAATTCCCGTTTACATCCAAGCTCTGGCGGCCGGCGGACTTGCAGACAGCTTTCAGTAGCCTGGGGGGTCTGAAGTAGAAGTCGGGCGAGCTCCCCTTCTCCACGGCTTGCCACTCGTACCTGCCTTCCAGCGGCTTGTGATTCTGGAAATCGAAATTCCACTTCCTCTGGCATGCCTCCTCCATCTCCTGGCGGTGCTTCTTCAAGTCCCTGTTTAACTCTTCGTGATTCACCGGCCCGAAGAGGTTCCTGCAAGCTGACGGCTTCGGGTACTCCGACTGCCGGGCTTCCATGCGCTCCAGGGTAGGGCTCCCATTAGAAATACGGACGTTTGACATCTCCCCCCACCCTCTTTCTTCCCGGCGGCGGTTGTTTTGCTCGCTGCTCTCCCCCCCCCTCCAGCCGCCGCCGCCGCCGCCTCCTCTCCGCCTTTTATTTCTCGGCGCTCCGCGGCTCTCCTCCGCGCCTCCTCTCCGCGCTGCTCCGCTCGCCGGCCCCGCCTCGGCCCCGCTCGCCCTCGGCCCGCGGAGATGGGGCGATCAGGCACCCTCGCATAAGCGCCGGCCCGGGGATGGAGCCCCGAGAGCCGCCGCCGCCGCCGCCGGGGAGCCCCGGGCGGGTGGAGGAGCGGTTGCGCGGCGGGGAGCGGCGCTGCGCTCCGCGGCCCCGGCTCCGCGCTGCCCCGCCGGCGGTGCTGGGGGTGCGGGCGCTGCTGCTGGTGCGGCTGGTGCTGCTGGTGATGCCCCCGCCGCTCGCACCGCCGCCGCGTAGTAAAAGCGAGACGGAAAAAAACAAGAAGAGACGAGCCCTTTTCTGGGTTGCCCAATATGGCGATTGAAGGGAGGCTGACGAAGAAGAAAATGATTGACAGGACGAGTCTATTTAAACAGCCCGGCCGAACCATTGGTTACGGCGGCGGGCGCCGCCCCGTCGGCCCGGCCCTGCCTCGCCGCCGCCGCCGGCTCTAAAGGTGGCCCCGGCCGAGCCGGGCCGAGTTGAGCCGAGCCGGGCCGAGCCGGGCCGAGTTTAGCCGAGCCGAGCCGAACCGAACCGAACCGCGGGGGACGGGGAGCGCGGGAGGCGAAGACGGGCGGGAAGATGCCGCGCTCGCCGCCTCCCTCCGCAAAACCCGGGCCCGGCGGGGTTTGTGCCCACCACCCCAAAAAAAACCCCCACCCCATCTCCTTGCTCGCCCGAGAGGCCTGAGTGATGGTGGCGGCTGGTTAGATTTTGACGCATTCCTGTGACAGGAGTCTCCCACCGATCTGATTTTCCCGGGTTGGGCTCCGGCGGCGCAGCCCCCCCTCCGAGATCCGGGGTTGGGGGCAAGCTCGGGGCTAGCAGGCGGCCTCTTCCCCCCCCCCCGCCCCCCCGGGACATGTAGGGGAGACCGGCACCCAGACCCCACAGCACCCTGACCCCACCGGCTGCAGAGCCAGGCTGGTGGCTCCCAGGGGAGGGCAGGAGGATCACCTCTTGCTGCCTTCTCAGCAGAGAAGGGACTAGGTGAAGAAACGGCTCTAAAAACCCCAGGATTTCAGATCTCAGCAAGCAGGGGAAAGAAAACAAAAGCGTTCGGTTTTGTCCTGTTTGTGTGCTAGGGAGATGCGATGAGCCAAGAGTCACAGAGATTTTTCTAAGCAGCTTCCTCAGAATAGCTGCAGCAGGTATGCTGGAGAGAAGGGCAACAGTGTCCTCCTCTTTACACCCCTCGTCTCCAGCCCCCTCCCCAAACATCTTCCCTCACGAGGCAGAGCAGCCCCCTCAGTGCGTTGCAGGACACTGCGGGTGCTCTCAGGTGCTGAAGGTTTTGACTTTTTCAGGGGCCCAGATCCAGGGCCTGAATCTCTGGAGGGCTGGAGGCTCTTCACACCAATCCGTCTGGCCAGGTCTCCTCTGCAAGCAGAGCAACCCTCTCCAGATTTTGCTTCGGGGGGGAGGGGGCGGGGGGCACACCAGTGACAAACTATCTCAACAAGGCAGTGGTCAACACAACTGGGTTTAACTGGTTGAGAGAAGAGTCAGCTGATTTGGCCTTGATGACATGGAGCTTTTACCCTGTGCTGTACTTACACAGACTCACTGTGGTTTGGGGTCTATGGTTTTGGTGGGGCCACCGAAACCTTCGCTCTTGTGAACTGATACGCTAAACTCTGCACACACTGGAGAGGGGACAAAACCATGACAGAGCACTCAAGCCCAGGCCACAGTAGTCTGCTTGCCATCATCAGCCCCCCAGGCAGTAACCCTCAGCCTCTGCTCACACCACTCACTCAAGTAATCTCAGTATTGCCAGACCCAAGTTCAAAAAACTGATGCGTGCAGGCAAAAGAAAAAAAAAAAAAAAACAAAAAAACAAAAAACAACAACAAAAAAGAAATTGGTTTAAAAAACACAAGGTTGAAATAAAATACTAACCATGTTCTTTTTATTTGTTTGCTGGGTTTTTTAATGCTCAGAAGTTGTTTTCCACCTCTTCTCATCAACCTCAAGTTCTAGCAATTCACTTACAGAAAATTAAAGCTGACATTCTCATGCCTGCAGGAGGTGAGACTTTTTTTTGGAGTTGCAAGTCCATGATAAAACTGCTATCAGCTGGCAAAGCGGGGCCTATTCATCTGCTTTACTTGCAGGATTTCATCTTCGTTTCTCCAGGCTTTCCTGTCTTTGACTTCCACAGACACCACAAGGAAGTGCAGTTTCAAACTTCTCACTTTCTCTGTCAGGTGTGGGGCACTCGGCTTGTTTTGTTGATCTACACAAAAAGTCATTGTAGGCTAAGAAAGCGATCTGCAAAATATGTCTGGGGGCTCCCTGAAGATGTCCAAGGCTCAGCCTGCAGATGGGGACCTGCCTGCTGGTAACCTACTGAATGTCCCACCCGTGACTCCTTAGACGAGGAGTTCCCAGTCTCTGCTCCCTGGGAGTCATTGCTGTCTCCTGAGTCCACAGAAGAAAAGTAAACCCCTTGTCGGTGGGATGATGACATTTTACCAGAGTAGAAACACATACTAGGGAAAAAAAATAAAATAATGGGGTCCAAATATTGGAAAAGACTGGTGCTCCACAGGTAAACAACCAGGAACATGACTGCAGTGCAAAAGAGCACTGATTTATCTGCAGCCTTTGGAAAAGAAGAAACAAGTTACTGTAGGACAAGAACTTTTTTTTTTTAATTATTTTTTTGTTCTGTTTATATGTCCCCTAGCACAAGGGCCTGGGACTAAGCCCCTGGATGCCGTGCAAGTATATTAAAAACGAATCATTAAAGCCAAAGGGGTGGGGGTATGCGAATAATTTAAGCCACTGATGGAAGCAAACGAGAAAATGAAAGAGGAGTGGTCTGCGCCTTGGCTTATCCCTCTACTCCTTCTCCTCCATCACCCGCCTTGCTCTCCGAGGGGCTGGGAGGAGGCAGGGGGTGTGACCCGCAGCCGCGGTGGCTCCGCGCCTTTCCGCGGGCAGCGCAGCCCCCCCAACCCGCGCGGTCGAAAACGTTGGGGTCGCGCTGGTACAAACGATCGGGAAAGGGGATAAAATTAAGGAGAAAAAAAAAAAAAAAAAAAAAAAAAAAAAAAAGAGAGTAGCCCCCCGGGATGGGGGGGAAGCGGCTGGAGCAGCCTCATCCCTGGGGCATCCGCGGGGACCCACCGCGACCCCCGCGCTCGGGGGTCGCGGTGGGTCCTCGCGGCTCTTTCGGCTTCACACACATCCCCCCCCCTTCCCCTCCCCCCCCCCCCCCCCCCCCCCGCCGCCGTGCGGTCTAGGCAATCCACCTTAAATCGCTGCGGCTGCAAAGGAGAAAAAGGCTGTGTCTGCAGCGACCTTGCCATGATCTAAAGTGTTTTGTTTACAGTCAGGCACCCCCGATGGCTGCAGCAAATCGTGAGAGAGGCAGGCGCCCGCCTGTAGTAGCAGCGAAGCGTGAAAAAAAAAAAAAAAAAAAAAAAAAAAAAAAGAGTACTAAAGTCCCGGAGTAAAGCTCTGGAAAGATCAGAGCGCCATCGTCTTGTAAAAGTGGGGCACAGCAGCGGAGCTGCGGAGGGGAGGCGGTGCGCGGGTTTGCGCGGCCGCGCAACGGCGGGGGTGGGGAGGGGGGCTGAGGAGGGGGGCGAGCTCTAAGAGCCACCCCAAAGCTCTTGCCTCTAGCAACCGGTTTTTCCTCGCTCTGTTGCCGTTTAAGCTGAAGATGCAGCCAGTCAAAGATGGGAAGAGAGGCTTAGAGAAAGAAAGGAAAACAAACGACAAAAAAAAAAATAAAAACAAAACAAAACAAAACTAAACAACCCTAAAACTTGGAGGAGTGATCCAGGAAAGAGGGAGGAGTGTTTATGGGGAGGTCTGTGCGAACAATGTCCTGGCTTCTCTAACAGCCTCTGAACACCCTGTCCCCTCTCTTCCCAGTACCCAGCTCCTCTTTCTTGTTTGGGCTTTTCCACTGGCAGAGCTACTCACTGTTTTTCTTTCCTCCAGAACCGCTTAGGCAAGCTTCCTGCCCTCATTTTGGCCACCCTCCTTCCCCAGCACTTTATTAAGTTGTCAAGTGAACCAGCAAAGCACATGTAAACTGCACACATAAACCATCTGGGTTGTTCAGGATTTTCAATATTCCTTTGCAAATAGCAGGGGAATAGGAAATAATACCCGAGTTCCTCCAAAGGCTGTGTCTTCCAGAGCTGAGGATGAAGGCGGCAGGGGCATGGTGTGACCCATCTGAAAGCCAGAGGCTTGAGGAAGTTTGCTTCTCATCCACCTCAGCTGTTCCTGAGCTGATGCTGTTTCCCCACGCCTCCAGTTTTTCAGGCAAAACTCCCATTTCCTCGAGAGGTGAGGGGTGAGGCCACCACGAGATTTGAGGCAAACGCCCCAAGAATTCACCTGAGTGCCCTGGGGATATTCATAATGTCCTTACCAGGAGCCCTTCCCTTCTGGGCAGGATTAGGGCCCGGTGAGGTTCAGCAGCAGAGACCAGTCAGGGAGGAAAGAGCCATTTTAGTTTACGAAGGCCCTGGGATGTCATCCAGCAACGCCCAGCACAGGAGCAGTGCCCTGGGGGGGGGGGGGGGGGCGGTTAAGAGATGCCAGCCCCCCCCTCCGCAGGCCCTGCAGTCAGGGCAGGGTGCAGCAGCTCAGCATCCCTGCCAGGGAGCCGCTGCCCGCCCTGTCCCCAACCCCCTCGCTGCGGGAGGGCAGGGGGGGTTGGGGGCTGCCCACGCCGCGGGGGAAGGATACAGCCAGGCGGGGTTTAAGACCTTTTGCTCGTTTGATGTAAAACTCTAGAGGGAGCCTAAGGACAGAGATCAGGCTAGCGCCAAAAACACGGCCTCCCTCCTGACAGCATCCCCCCCCCGCCCCAGGCAGGGTCCCTGCTCTCATCCCCACTGCCCTGCACTTTTGGGGGCTCTGCTGCCGGGTTCCTTTGCTGCAGGTGCAGAGCAGTTGTGGCCAGGGGTGTAGGCCCCGGCACACACCTGCAGGAGCCCTGGATGGGATCAGGGTGCAAGAACCAGCTCAGGGGATTTTGAGCCCTTGAGAGGATGCTGGCTTGGGGCACAGTTTAGGGGTGTCCTTAATGGGATTTTTTAAAAAGCAGGTAATCTGTCAGAACTGCCTTCTCTGCCCCAGTGCAAGGGGTTGGACTATCTCACCATGCCATGGGGCAGGTTATACAAACAGTTATGTCTGCGGAAGATACAGGTTAAATTATTAGCACTGAAAGTTACTCATTTTTTCTCTCTGGAGCTCTCCGCTTGTCACCACCTTTTCCTTGACTGGCTAAAGGAGCAGTCCTTCTTAAATGATCCGGATTTTATCTCAGGATCATTATCTCAGGGAAGACTCACCTGGTAAGACTCAGATGACCTTTTTACTTTTTTTTTTTTTTTTTTATTAT